TGTTCTTTAATTCTTCTAGGTGTTTGTTCTTTAATTCTTCTAGGTTTCTATTAAACATTTCTTGGATCTTCTCAATCTTTGCCTCCATCCTTTTTCCGAGGTCCTGGATTATCTTCACTATCATTATTCTGAATCCTTTTTATAGAAGGTTTCCTATCTCTACTTCATTTAGTTGTTTTTCTGGGGATTTATCTTGTTCCTTCATCTGGCACATAGCCCTTTGCCTTTTCATCTTGTCTATCTTTCTGTAAATGTGGTTTTTGTTCCACAGCCTGTAGGATTGTAGTTCTTATTGCTTCTGCTGTCTGCCCCCTGGGAAGGCTCACGCCAAGAAGTACTTCCCAGAACTTCTGCTGCCAGTGTCCTTGTCCTCATGGTGAGACACAGCCATCCCCCACCTCTGCAGGAGACCCTCCAACACTAGCAGGTAGGTCTGGTTCAGTCTCCTATGGGGTCACTGCTCCTTCCCCTGGGTTCCGATGCACACACTACTTTGTGTGTGCCCTCCAAGAGTGGAGTCTCTGTTTCCTCGAGTCCTGTCAAAGTCCTGCAATCAAATTCCTTCAAAATCTGATTCTCTAGGAATTCCTCCTCCTGTTGCCAGACCCCCAGGTTGGAAGCCTGACGTGGGGCTCAGAACTTTCTCTCCAGTGGGTGAACTTCTGTGGTATAAGTGTTCTCCAATTTGTGAGTCACCCACCCAGCAGTTATGAGATTTGATTTTATTGTGATTGCGCCCTCCTACTGTCTTATTGTGGTTTCTCCTTTGCCTTTGGATGTGTGGTATCTTTTTCGGTGAGTTCCAGTGTCGTCCTGTAGACGACTGTTCAGCAGTCAGCAGTGATTCCGAGGCTCTCGCAAGAGGGAGCGAGCACACGTCCTTCTACTCCGCTATCTTGAACCAATCTCTAAAATTGGGGTCTTAATAGAACCTACCTCATAGAAATGTGGTGAGGATTCATTAACTCATTCAATAATCCACAAATATTTGTTGAACACCAACTACATGCTAGCTATTATTTTAAGCACTCACCCGGTTGTAGAAGAGAGATAAATAAGGTCCCATTATCATGGAGCTTACGTTCTACTGGGGGAGAAACAAAACAAATACATGTGAAGCTTGGGAGTAGTGACAAGTGCTTTGATGGAACTAATACAAGGTGATACAACAGAAAGCATTTGGGGGTGTGACTGCCAATTAAACAGGGTAGACAGGGGACATCTCCTGGTAGAGGTGACATTTAAGCTGTATGCTTACACAAAGGAAGATAATATGCCAAGCTGTATATTCTTGGCAGATAGAGCCTAATGTATGTCAGCTATTTAACTTTTTAAAGATGAATGTATTTGCAAAAGGACATTAGAATGGGACTTTTCCTGCCTCGCTATCAAAAAATCAGGAAAAGGGCTTCCCTGGTGGCTCAGTGGTTGAGAGTCTGCCTATCAATGCAGGGGACACGGGTTCGTGCCCCGGTCCGGGAAGATCCCACATGCCGCAGAGCAGCTGGGCCCGTGAGCCATGGCCGCTGAGCCTGTGCGTCTGGAGCCTGTGCTCCACAACGGGAGAGGCCACAACAGTGAGAGGCCTGCGTGCTGAAAAAAAATCAGGAGAAAAAAATCAACTGTGCTCAAACCCAAGAACACATTATGTCCATCTGAAATGACTTAAAAATAAGCATGTAGCCTCATTCCTGCCTCCATAAACTGCCAGGAACTATTTCTCTTCTCCACACTCCACTCAGACACTCAAGTAACCAGAGAGCAACAACCCAAACATTCAAATAAAAAGAACTGTAGTTTATCAAAAGGGATCCTAACAATGTATTATGATATTTGAAGTAAAAGTGATACCTTTTCCCCAAAAGTTTAAATTGCCTTTATGAGATGCATAGATTTGTTTATTTATTTAAATTTTTGGCCGTGGCATGCGGGATCTTAGATCTTAGTTCTTAGTTCCCCTTAGATTCCCCTTAGATCTAAGTTCCCCTTAGATCAAACCCGTGCTCCCTGCCTTGGGAGTGTGGAATCTTAACCACTGGACTGCCAGGGAAGTCCCTAGATGCATATATTTAAACATCTCAGAAGGGGGATTTAAATTCTGATTCTTTCTTTTTGATAGGGATTCTAGTACGACTTCAACTTTCCCTGAATCATATGTCTCCCCTTCGTTCTTTTCTTATTGTACCTATTTAATCCAATACACAGGAATATAATTTTTGTCTGTCCTTTAGGTGTAGGAAAACCATGGTCTGATGCAGGTAGTATCAGGGAGCAAAGGCCAGTAGGGTAACCAAGGGGCACAGAAACATCTTGAGAAACTGATACCACTGGAAAGTTGTGTTTATCATTAACTTCTCTCAGAATTCATTTTATTCTAAGTGGATGGAAAGAATATTTTGATAGTGCTTGGAGTATGGGTTGAGAGCCCCAAGAGACACATTGCTCTGCCTTCAAATAATGGATCAAGTTAATCACCACTGGTTTTGGGGGGTTTGCTTTTGTTTTTGTCAACTGGGGTCTGCAAATTTGGAAGAGAACTAAATCGCTTTGGATAATAAAACAGAATCTAGGTAATGCCACCTGCAGTCTTCCTTTTTTACCACATTGCTCTTCCTCTAAGTAAATGTTCAACAAGTACTTAAAGAATATTGATTTGAATTGTGCCAAATTATTGGCCTATCCTGGTCCAGCCCAGGTTACTGACATAAACCATAGCCACAGGTTCGACTGAGGCAAAAGGCTGAATCTGGGAAATCCCAGAAGCTAAGAGCAGCATCCAATGATCTGCAAAGAGCCACTTCTGTTAGACCTCATGATTCTTGAATTCTCTGAAAGCAAATAGTATATCCTTACATTACTATTTAGACAAAATCAAGATTTTTGCTTCTGGGAAAAGGAAGAAAAATGTATTCATTCAGCACCTATTATTGAGCTGAAAAGAATACACCTACTTGTCATTTTCATAGATTATCTCATTCAATTCACACGCTGATCCAGTGAGTGAGGTATTGTTATCCCCATTTTACAGGTGAGGAAATTGAGGCTTAGAAAAGTGAAATAACTCACCCAGGTCACACAGAGGTCAAATAATTTGCCCAGGTCCCACAACTAGCTTGGGCAGAGTTGTGACACAAATCCAGATGTGACTGACTCCAAAATCTGTGTTCCTTCCATGACACCAGGATGTTGTACGATACTTATCTGGGTATTATATGTACTTACATCATCACTTTAGCCTCTTCAATGAAATCCTCTTCAGACATGGAGCCTTCATTGATGGCCTTGATAGCTACCTGGACATGTGCTCGCCATTGGCCTAAATAGACCACCCCAAACTGGCCGCTTCCAATCTCCTTTACAAAAGCCAACTCAGATGGATCTATCTCCCACTTTTCTGGAAAAGTAAAACATCCACGTTACAAATAAGGAAAAACATGTTAAATTTTTAGAGCTAGAAAAGATTTCGGAATTTTCTCGACCTATTCTCTTCTTTTTCAGAGAGGTTTAAAAAATTTATAAATGAGTGGAAAGGACCTGTAACCATTTTTAATACTCTTATTGTGGCTTAAAAGTATAATTCCAGAATTCAAGTATAAAAATACAAACCTCACTTACTTGGAGAGGAATTATGGATATCAAAACATGCTTTCTCTTTCCAGAGAGACCCAGGATGAAACAGTTCTGTGCCTTTCTAAACTAAACCTGCCGAAACCAGACCTGGAGCCTAAATATTTATGTCCCCAGTCTGTTTTTATCCTGGTAAGTAAACTTGTGAGATTAGATAAAATTTGGGGTCCCCCATCTCAGTTTCTTTTATTGTTCCTTTGCCCACTCCCACCCCTAAAGGGCTTTCCTGCCCTTTCTCCTTTGCGAAAAGTCTAATCAATTCACCTGATAAATATTTTCAATATTAAGATTCTAACCCATATCTAAATGTATGTTTGAAATGATGCTTGCATTACTGAATATTTCTCACTCTACAGAAGTAAATCAAGAAAAAAAGAACTGTTTTTAAAATAACCCTTTGGAAAACTGAGAATTAAATCCTAACTTTTTAGTAACCACTTTCATACAGCAACACCACCATCTGCTGGAACTTTAAAATAATGCATTTAAAAGAATTGTAATGGCCAGTGACCCCTTGTACCACCAGGCTTTGCAAGGTACTCCCCTTCCCAACAGTAGGTGTGTTTTTAAAATAACATGGGAGAATATATTCATGACCTTGGGACTGACATAGATTTGTTCAACAGAATATAACTATAAAGGAGAATACTGATAGATTAAATTTCATAAAAATCCTATTTATCAAATACACCCCATTAAGAAAATGAAAAGGTAAGCCACAGACGGGGAGAAAATATTTCTTAAAACATATAACCAACAAAGAATTCCTATTCAAAGTAAGAATAAATCGATTAGGAAAAGGCAGATAATCCTATTCTTTAAGGGTTAAAAATAACTTGAATAGTGTATTCTCTCACAAAAGAGAATATCCAAATGGTCACTGAACCTATGAGAAGTTGATCAACATAATTAGTCATCAGGGAAATGCATATTTAAACCAAAATGAGATATCACTACACATGCACCAGATTGGCTAAAATGAAAACAGAAACCAAACCAAACCAAACAAAAACCACAAGAATACCAAATATTGGCAAGGGCAAAGATGTGGAACAGCTGAAACGTCCATACGCTCTTTATTAAAGTATAATCTGGTATAAATTCTTTAGAAAACTGACTAAATCTGAGTATGTTCATACTCTACGACCCAGCAATTCTACTTTTAAGTATATATCCATCATTGTCGGGGCATATGTGTGTGTTAAACGTTATCAAAAGGCATACAAGAATGTTCATAATAATATTATTTAGAAAAGCCAAAAATTGGTTAGAACCCAAAAGGCTATCTGAAGAAGGATGGGCAAATCCACTGCGGTGTAGTCATGCAACGTAGCAGTTCACCGCAATGCAGGTGGACCAACCACACCCAGCATGGTGGGTGAATTCACATGTGGAAGGATGGAAGAAAGAAGCCAGACATGGATGCCCGGTGTCCAATTTCATTTATATAAGGTAGTCAAAACCAGACAACATTACTCAGGCTCTAGACTTACGAACTGTGCACTCTTCTGGATATTGAAAAATTGAAAAGTTTATTTTTTAATTAAAAACGACCATGTTTGGGCTTCCCTGGTGGCGCAGTGGTTGAGAGTCCGCCTGCCGATACAGGGGACATGGGTTCGTGCCCCGGTCCGGGAAGATCCCACATGCCGCGGAGCGGCTGGGCCCGTGAGCCATGGCCGCTGAGCCTGCGCGTCCGGAGCCTGTGCTCCGCAGCGGGAGGGACCACAACAGTGAGAGGCCCGCGTACCGCAAAACAAACAAACAAAAAAAAACGACCATGTTTAACTTAGATAAATGGCTAATGATAGAATTTTTTAAACATATAGTATTTACGGGGCAGAGGAATAATCTAGGCACCCATAACACCCTGAAATCACCTTTCCATCCCAATTCACAGCGACCCTGAGTCCTGCTTATCTGCTACACAATAATTGTGTTATCTTTTTTTTTCAGTATATTCTGAGTCCCCCTAATGAGATAAATTTAAGGAAATAAAGTATCACCAAATTAGAAAGCAGGATTCTTTGGCCCTTATTTTTTCTCACAGATGTGCAACTATCACATTCACTAGAAAATAGTTCAAATCAAACTTGGTCCAAGTTCTATTCGAAAAAGGTGACAAGGACACTTTTAGCAACTCATTTTAGCAGGTTCTCTTGGGGAGAAGTCATTTCCCAGCCACCCACATAACCAGAGAGCAACAACCCAAACGTTCAAATAAAAATAACTGGAATTTATCAAAAGGGTTCCAAATAATGTATAATGAAATTTGAAGTAAAAGTGAAACATTTTCCCCCAAAGTTTAAATGCCCTTAGGAGCTGCATATATTTAAACATCTCAGAAGGGAGATTTAAACTTTGAGGAGAAATGTAGCTAGACAGACTCTACCTCAAAAGAGCTGAGAATTTAAAGAACATAGAGGGAACTTGGGGTAGGTTCTTCACTGGATTTGATTTTTACTTGAGCACATGTGCATACTTTACCATAGCTAAAACCAGCTGTGGCCGGCAAACAACTGCCCATCAGCCCAACTGGGTGGCGGAGACGGGACATGAGCCCTGGGGAGAAAAAAAGTCAGCATTTCAGTCCTAGTTACTAGTACAAAAGAAAAAGCCAAATGTACTAGAATATAGTGCTATTCCTTAAATAGATCAGGCAAAAAAGCATTCTACAGTTAGTCTGTTTGCTTATTTTTCCCATTAGAAAAACACTTTTCACAAAATAATATATGCTCATTGAACAGAAACTAAAGAATCCAAGAAAATACAAAGATGAAATAAAGGTCCCTTACAAAATCTTAGTATCTAGAGATACACTGTTATCACTTTGGTGAACATCTTCACAAAAATTTCCTTATGCATGTTTGAAACATCTGATATGTTTCACAGAAATGTAAATGTTTTGCTCCAAGATTTTTACTCTCAAAATGTAATTGACATGTGTCAATGACTATAAATAGACCTTAATATTATTTCCAAGATTTCACTATTGTAAAATATGCTGTATATTTTTGAACATATATCTGTATGCACCTCTCAAATTATTGCCTCAGGCATAAATTCCTTAAAATGTGACGTCCTGATCAAAGAGTGTCTAGAAAGTTTGTACTAATTCATTCAACCACCAACAGTGTCTAAGTGTACCCATTTCCCCATCCTCCTCTTGAGAGTAGTTTATTATTTTTTTTTAATAGCATGGTAGAGTAATGAGACTTCTTTTGATTGGGTCCACATGTAGTATTCCATAGGGTCAATTTCAGTTTTTGTTCAACAAACATTTATTATTTATTTCTTCAACTAACATTTCTTGAAAGACTGCTTTGTGCCAAGCATTATCTAGATGGTGGGAGACAGCAGTGAGTAAGACAGCGATGGTCCCTACTCTCATGAAGCTTACATTCCAGTGGGAACAGAGAAAATAAAGAAGTACATGCACACACAACAAGAAGCAGATCATGAGTAGATGAAGCAGATGAAGTAGAGTAGATGAAATAGAGCTTCTTTAGAATGAGTGCCCACAGAAGGCCTTTCTGACAAGACGACAGCTATGCTGACATTGATGGATGAGTAGCCATCTTACAAGGATCAGAAGGAACAGCATTCCAGGCAGATGGAACAGCATGTGCAAAGGCTGGAAGACAGGAACAAACTTGGCCAATGTAAGAACAGAAAGCAGCATTATTAAGTGCCCATTATGTGCAAGACACTTCTCTAAGTAGATCCCAAAGATTCCAGAGGACCAAGGATGAGGAAAATGAGGACTCTGCACACAGGGGCTCCATCTCAGTGAGGGAAGACAGGCAGAGAGAGGCAATTTCAATGTAACAGGAGTAAGTTCTGTGATGAAGATACGCAAGGTGCTCTGGGACACAGAGGAAGAGCACCTCGCACATTGTTGGATTCAAAGAAGTCTTCTGTCAGTAGATGATACCTGAGATGGATCTGACAAAAGGAGTCCACATTGTAGGCCGAGGTAGTAGCATGAGATGATATTGATACTTAGAGGTATGATGCAGGAAGAGCTATTTGAGCAAAGAGTGAGAGGTAGAAGGGGCAAGAAATTATACATGAGAGGTAGGTTATATTCTGGTTGTGGTCAAGGCCTTGTATGCTTTGCAAAGGAGCATTACATCTTCCTGCAGGTGGGAGGGAGCCATTGAAAGATCCTAAATAAGGGAGTGGTGTAGTCAGATTTACATTTTGATACATCCTTCTGGCATCAGTATAGAGGATGGATGAGGGGAAGTCAACCTTGAAGGCAACAAGACCAGTGAAGAGGCCACTGTAATTATCTAAGTGAACAATGATTAGGGCAGTACTAGTACACAGGGAGGGAGAGGCAGGGACCTACATGAGACATATACAGGATATGAAATTCATTGCACTTGATAATTAATCAGAAGTGCAAGGAGAATGGATGTATCTATTCTGACTTCCATGTTTCCAGCCCCTGTAATTGGCAAGATGATGATACGATTATCTGATGATGATACACCAGGAAGAGTAAATCTGGAAGGAAAGTAGTAGCATAAGATGAAGAGCTCCATTTCCTCATTGAAGTTCAGGGCATGTGGGATTGCAGGTATCTGTGTCTACCAGGCAGGAGAATCATGCAATTGAAGTATAGTTGATGTACAATATTATGTAAGTTACAGGTGCAGTGTAGTGTTTCGCAATTTTTAAAGATTGTACTCCATTCATAGTTATTATAAAATATTGGCTGTATTCTCTGTGTTGTACAATATATCCTTGTAACTTATTTTATACATAATAGTTTGTACCCCTTAGACTTCAATTTTCTTAATGAAGTAGATGGTTAGGCAATTTACTCATGGGCAGTGGATAATACTAGAAAGGGGGTCTTGAGGAGAATGGTAAAAGTTTGAACAGAAAACAGGAAAGGATGCTTACCAGTGACTCTGAAGACCTAGTTGGGGTTAGAGCCCTCATGAAGTTGGGACTCTATAACACATGATCAAAATAAAGAACATAATAGGAATTTCCTTAAGACCCTAACACCTTCCTCTAACTTCAAAGTTTTTGTTTGCCAAATATTTTTATTCTGTGAATTACTACCAGTGGTTTAGTGATGGTTTGTCTCTCTGATAGAAAAAAAAAAAGTCTGTCACTCTCTTTGCATTGTCCTTACTTCTGGTAAAGAGATGGATTGTCATGAGCTAAACTGATCAGAAGTCAAAAAGTAGACGGGATAGTCATGGGTTTCAATTCACAGCCTCATCTGGATCCTCCAATGATCTAAGTTGCCTCTTTCTGGAGGAGATGACAGTCATTAAACACAGACTCTGGAGCCAGTAGGTTCTACGGCTCCAATGGTTTCAAACATTTCTGTGAATTCAAATGTCAGTGCAAATACTTATTAACGGTGTGCCTTGAGCACAACTCATGCCTCAGTTTCCTCTTCTGTAAGATAGAGACATCAACAGCATCTACCTCATTGGATTTCTCTGAAGATTAAATAAATAAATATACATAAAATAGGGTCTGGTCCAAAGTAAGTCTTCAGTAAATATCAACTATTTCTGAGTCCCATGCCTTTCCTCTTATCATCCTTCTTTCTCTCTGTCTTATCTCTTTTCTACTTTCTTTTCTCCCTAATAAACAGCCGCCATAGTTAGAAGTTCTCAACCCCTGTTTTTCTTTTTTTTATCGTTTGATCTAGCTTTAATTTTAAAAGTTATCTGTGTGGTATTTCTTACATTATAAGAATAATTTATATACATTGTAATTTTTTAAAACCCTAGCACAATCTACAAAGCAGAAAATAAGTTTCCCTTACCCCCAGTCTCATTCCCCAGAGGTAAACATTAACAGCTTGTAGTCTGTTATAATCTTATTAGTTTAAAAATTATTACCTAAACTGTAACAGGATTTTTCTATGTATGCACGTATTTCTATATATTTACTTTTCAAAAGTAAGACTATAAATATACTGTTTTGCACCTTTTTCTCTTTACTAAGCAACTTATCACTAACATCTTTTCAGGTCAGCACATCCTGATCTGTCTCGGTATTTTTTTTAACGTCACCACCACCACCACTCTGTTTCTTAAATTTTTTCTTTGAAGGAAGGGGAAAGAAGAGTGTGAAGAAGAAAACTGATTCTAAGGGTTTCTATCTCTAGCCACAAATATGTCCTCACTGGCCCCGCTCAGACATGTTGCCACTTCCTCTCTAACCAAACGCCCAGTGACGATCAGGAATACCCAGGTGGACTCACTCCATAAGAGAATAAAAACTTCCTTGGATTTATTCCTGATATTTAGAAACAGTGTAATGGAAAAGTGGCCGCTTTCCAAAAGGGATTTGTTTGGGCATCACAACTTTTCATGAGAAAAATCTAAAAAAAGTACTGCATGTCAAGAAGTCGAAAGAATATGGAAGTTACAGTGGGTTCCAAATTCTATAACACTGAGGTAAGGAGATTCCCCCCCATAGGCTCAGAGTAGTCCAGTACAGGTTGGACGAGGGCTGAAGACCAGAGCTGTGGTTGTAATCGTGTTGGAACTTTCTGGAATTCTACATCTTTCCATAGATGATAGGTTTGCAAAAATAGCCATTATTGCAAATTACAGCTGGGAAAGGGGGTTAAATATGCCTCTGGTATATTCAAGTCAAATTGTAACTGTGTAAGGCTGTGTCCTGTGTAAAACACTTTCTGTTTTCCATACAAGAAGGAACAGACAATGAGACATTTAAGGGTAATTTTCTATTGCAACTTTCTAAAGTTAAGAGCAAATTTAGAGGGGTAAAGAGAAAGAAGAATGAGCCTTTAGGACATTTGAAATTTTATTACATTTAGCTCCATGTAAATTTCAAGAACAGATGCATAATGACTAAATGGCCTTTTGCTTCCTTGTCATCTATCATTTTTCCAACCTGGCAGAAATGTAAAAAAAAATCAACCTACCTCTTGCAACCTGACTAGAAAAAACAAAAACGCATCAATGAGGAGGAGAATTGCACAGAAGACAGGTTGTATTTCGACTCTTAAACATTTCTACAGGGATATTTGGTCCTGTTAAGTGTCTGACCAGAGATACATTGCCTCTCTGGGGCCTGGCTCCCCGACTCTCCCAGCCTGAAGTTTCTGACTTACCAGCTGCGTTGTGCTGGTGATACCAGATCAACTCGGGGATTGATTGAAAGAGGTGTCTTTCAGCCACGTACCACTGTCCTGAGTCCTTCCTTTTAATCTGATAATGTTTGATGGTAGCCTCCATACTTCTACAATCAGTAAAATGTGAGTTCATAAACAAGCAAAAGACCACGTTGGAGCCAAGTCAATCATTAAGCAACAGGACTCCACCTCTAAAACTCATATCCTAGTAACACTACACACTGAAGAGCAGATAGGATTAAATTCAACAGGTGCCTCCCCAGCCCAGGAAAATTCCTCAGCTATGGTACTGGGGTCTTAGATTCAAACATAACTTCAGCGAAAGTTGTCTAGGTGACAAGTCTAGTGTCCAAAAATGTACAGCTCGTAATGGACACTTATGAGCATTTATTGAATCAAGTATCAGTTCAGTGAATGAATAAATGCACTGTGAGAGATGTGAGACAAAGGAGGGAGGAAAACCAGTATCGGGTGTATTGATGAGCAGGTTTGCTATGGGCAGCTGGGGCTTAATCCCTCTAGAAAGAGATGAGAGTCTGTGGAACATACCTCAGAGTCTTCCCACTAAAGTGCAAAGGAGCTGAAGGGCTTATCCTCCACTCCTCATGGATGGAGGGTCACCTAGGAAGCTAACTCTCAGGTACCTCCAGTCCACCCCTGGGGACCACAAGAACCCGCAGCCAGAGAACATCCTCAGGCGGAAAGAAACAGGAAGCTTTCTGAGTACAAGAGAGCTCTCTGCAGGGTAACCCAGGGGTAAACCAAGGCGAGGAGAGAATCGCACCAGCAATGTCTTCTACAACTAATCAAATCTCCTTACTTGATACTTGAGAAAAGGAGATGAGAGAGTTTAAGTAACTTATCCAATGTCACATGCAGAGCTCGTTAGGGGATAAAATTTGAACCAATTAGTTGTCCCAAGTTCCAGGCCAGCAATTTTCTATGTTAGGTTCTCACTTACATTCTCTATGTGATGGTGTCTCCATAACAATGACTGTCCCAGGGATTGCTATTTCTAGAGAGATCAAAATCACAACTGCTTACCTCCCAGCTCTTATAAACACAGAAATGGTGTAGCATCCCAAATGTCTTGAATCTCTGACAATAAATGCACCTTCTTTAGACTGCAAAACAATTCATTCATTGTACAAGTTTATTCCTTATTAGGAAGAAAGACAAACATCTCAATAATGAAAACCAAAGCTATACTGACTTACTATAAAAGGATGATACTGTTTTTACAAGTACACACAATGTTATCTCTTAAACCCTTTATAGACTTAAATGTCATAACTATAAAATAAAATATAATTGGGACAAGAATTTGCAATGCATGAGTATTTTAAAACTTTGCTCCTGATTTTTCTAAGAATTCTGCATTTGACAGCCTTGTGCCCCACCATTTAGTTATTTTTGTTCTACTGATCAAGATAATAGATAAAAATAGCTGATGAATAAGAAGAACTCTGAGACAGACTGACAGGATTGTTCTTTAGAGGAAAAGAAACAACATGGTAAGTGGGGGTGAAGGAGGCAGAGAGGAATACATCTGGGAAGATGAGGAATGGAAAGAGAGACCAGAGCTCATGATATGGATGGAAAGAGAATAGACTTGGGAGAGTCTGGAGAGAAGAGCGAGGACAGCCATTCTGCTTGCTCTAGGGGTACAGGAGAGGCAGAAGGAGAAATGGCAGGAGGGAAGAATATTATAATAAGTTTGATGGTACATTATCAATTGGATCCCCATGGACATTCTTTGGGAAACTCCACTAAAGCTGAAAATTGCTTTCAAATAAGCTTAAAGTTGACGGTTTGGTTTAGTTTGATACCGTAAAAAAAGTTTTCCCCTTATTAAGTGTGCTTACACTCATGAAGAGGAAAATATCTCAGAATCTTGGCAGACCCGTGAAAGCTTCCACTTATCAAGTGCTGGTGGGTTGCTTGAGAACTGCACAATCCAAACAGCATGATATGACGCCTCAAGATGAACATAATACATCTTCTCCTTCTCTTTCCAGATGCTTACCAAGAAACAAGCCTCATTTTGTGGTCAAATTTTTGAACCAATAGAAATGAATAGAGAGCCCAGAAATAAACCCACGCTTATATGGTCAAATAATCTGTGACAAAAAAAGACAAGAATATACAATGGGAAAAAGACAGCCTTTTCAATAAATTGCAATGGGAAAACTGGACAGCTACATGCAAAAGAATCAAACTGGGTTACTTTCTCACACCATATACCACAATAAACTCAAAATGGATTAAAGACTTAAATGTAAGACCTGAAACCATAAAAGTCCTAGAAGAAAACACAGGCAGTATGCTCTCTGACATCGGTCTTAACAACATTTTTTTGGATTTGTCTCCTCAGGCAAGGGGAACAAAAGCAAAAATAAACAAATAGGACTATATTAAACTACAAAGCTTCTGCACAGTGAAGGAAACTATCAACAAAATGAAAAGGCAGCCTACTGAATGGGAGTAGATGTTTACAAAAGATATATCTGAAGAGGGGTTAGTGTCTAAAATACACAAAGAACTCATACAACTCAACATCAAAAAACAAACAATTCTATTTAAAAATGGGCAGAGGACCTGAATAGACATTTTTCCAAAGAAGATATACAACAGACCCATGAAAAGATGCTCAACATCACTAATCATCAGGAAAATGCAAATCAAAACCACAATGAGATATCACCTCACACCTGTCAGAATGGCTGTCATCAAAAAGACAACAAATAACAAGTGTTGGCAAGGATGTGGAGAAAAGAGAACACTTGTGTACTATTGGTGGACTTATAAATTGGTGCAACCACTATGGAAAATAGTATGTAGATTCCTCAAAAAATTTAAAATAGAACTACCATATGATTCAGCAATTCTGCTTCTGGATATTTACCTAAAGAAAACGAAAGCACTAGTTTGAAAGGATATATGCACACCAATGTTCATAGCAGCACTATTTGCAATAGCCAAGATATGGAAGCAACCTAAGTGTCCATCAACAGACGAATGGATAAAGAAGATGTGGTACATATATATACAATGGAATATTACTTAGCCATAAAAAAAGAATGAGATCTTGCGATTTGTGACATGGGTGGACCTAGAGGGTGTTATGCTAAGTGAAATAAGCCAGACAGAGAAGGACAAATACCATATGATGTCACCTATATGTGGAATCTAAAAAGCAAAGCAAACAAGCCAACAAAAGAAAAACAGACTCATAGATACAGAGAACAAATGGGTGGTTGCCAGATGGGAGGGGGTTGGGAGGGGGCATGAAATAGGTGAAGGGGACTGCATTACAAACCTCCAGTTATAAAATAAATAAGCCACAGGGATGTAATATACAACATAAGAAATACAGTCAATAATATTGTAATAACTTTGTAAAGGGACAGATGGTGACTTAACAGTGATCATTTCATAATGTATGCAAATATCAAATCACTATGCAGTACACCTGAAACTAATACAATATTGTGTGTCAACCATATTTCAATTAAGAAAGGAAATTCAAATTAAAATGAAAAAATCTAGAAATTAATAAGGAAACACTACATATCAGGACCTCTGTTATATCGGTCAGGCAATACTCAGAAATAAATTCACAGTCTCATTATTTATATCAATAAATGAAAGGAATACAAAATAAACAGATCCAACTCAAGAAGTTAGGTTAAGAATTATAAAATAAACCCAAGTAAAGTAGAAGAAAAGATCTAGAGACTGTCATATAGAATGAAGTAAGTCAGAAAGAGAAAAACAAATATCATATATTAACGCATGTATGTGGAACCTAGAAAAATGGTACAGATGTACCAGTTTGCAGGGAAGAAGTTGAGACACAGATGTAGAGAACAAACGTATGGACACCAAGAGGGGAAAACCACAGTGGGGTGGGAGTGGTGGTGTGCTGAATTGGGCGATTGGGATTGACATGTATACACTGCTGTGTATAAAACTGATGACTGATAAGAACCTGCAGTACAAAAAAAAAAAAAACAACTAATCTTTCTTTGGGTTATTTGTATGGAAATATGTTAATATAAATGTTTCAGACATTACATGAAATTTCTAAAAATCTTATATGTTCTGACATAACGATATAAGTCATAATTCTAGTTATTACTTTAAAATGTTTATCTCAGAAATAACTAAATTTCCTTATCAATTGCATTATTATAAAAAAATAAAGACAAAAGCAGAAAATAATAAATTATAAAAACAAAAATATAATACAGCAAGTAATTAAATTCAAAGTCTGGTTGCCTAGGGAAAAACAATAAAATAGATAAACTACTACTTAACCTAATCAATAAATAATGGGGTGAATCTATTAAAAAAGTCACAAGCATCCAGAAAAAAATTAAAGAATCTTCTTGACTCTATAAAATACATTTGAAAACTTGAATAAAATGGGTAATTAGCTAGCAAAACATAAAATTTATCAAAATTGATTCCAGAAAAGCTAGAAATCTTACTGGACCAATTGAATTGAAACACGGATAAGGTTTTAAGAGCTACAACATTAAAAAGCACCATAGTTACACATTGTGATGTTACTAAATCTTAAAGAAATGATAGATCAATTAAATAATTCCAGAGCATATGAAAGAAGAAAAACTTCTAAACTATACAAAGTGGTTTAACATCCATACCAACAACACAGCAAAGATTGTGTACAAAAGGGAAAACAACTAACCAGTCTTCACTTATATCAATGCAAAAATCCTAACTAGGGGCTACCCTGGTGGCGCAGTGGTTGAGAATCCACCTGCCGATGCAGGGGACGCAGGTTCGTGCCCCGGTCTGGGAGGATCCCACATGCCACGGAGCGGCTGGGCCCGTGAGCCATGGCCGCTGGGCCTGTGCATCCGGAGCCTGTGCTCCGCAATGGGAGAGGCCACAACAGTGAGAGGCCCACGTACCGCAAAAAAAAAAAAAAAAAAAATCCTAACTAAATGTTAACAAACTGAATCCAGTAGCACAATAAAAGAATAATACACCATGACCAAGAGGGATTACATACAAGAATGCACAAGTAATTTAATATTAGGGATTTTATTAATATGATTCATCATTTAATAGATCTGAGGAGAAAAATCTCATCAACAACTCCATAGATGTTGAAGAAGCATTTGACAATTTCAACTTATATTATCAGGATTTTCTTATTTTTTATAAAATGGTAATATATGTGTACTTCTTTAACACAATAGCCCTTATTTACTTTAGTCCCAAGTCCAGCATCATGTTTTATGTAGAAATCATTCTAACTAAAACCAGGAAAAAAGAAATACCCACTGTCAGCCCTGGTATTTAATTCTGTTCTGAGATACTAGCCAGTGCAATTAAATGAGGCAGAAATTAGCAACACTGATTTAAAATTGTAAAAGAGGGTTGAAATAATCACTGTTTGTTGCTGATAAGATTACATACCTGAAACCCAAGAGAATTGCCTGAAAAAATACTACAAAATTTTTTTGAATTCATCTAAGTCATCAGTTACAAACTAATTCACAGAAATCAAGAGCTTTCAAAAGTAAAAATAACAAGATAAGCCCATTTATAATAGCAACAAAAAGATAAAATACCTTAAAATAAACTTAAAAATCCATGTGCAAGGGCTAAATGAAGAAAACCTTAAAATGCTCCTGAAAAATACAAAAGTATTTGCTTTTTCTTATTAGGTCTTAACTCCATCTAAGATCTGTTTTTGCTTGATGTAGGGATCTAATTTTAATTTTTTCTATATGAGTAATTAATATATGGGTCCTGGAACAAATTGGTCCCTAAACCCCACTGATCTGTAATGCATGAACAATTTTCTCTAAATTAATCTGTAAATTTAATGCAACCAACAGGAAAGTTTTTTAAATGAGGCAAAGTAATTCTGAAGTTCATATGGACAAAATATGTGTCTCCAGAATGTTTCTAAAAAAGAAGAAAGGAGGCTAGCCACACCAGAGAAAGCTTCAGTGTTTAAAACATTATAGTGGCAGAACATGAATAGACAGGCTGATCAATGAAACCATGTAGTAAGTCCAGACATAGTTTTTTGTGTTTATGATGAAAGTGGCATCTCAAATCAATACAGACAAGAAGGACACTTGGTAAAGAAAAAAATTAACTTGGATCCAAACCTCATGATAACAGGAAAAATTATAAATGGATCAAACATGTATACATAAAAAATAAAGTCACTAAAGTAGTCAAGAAACATGGGAATTTTTTTATAACCTTGGAGTGGACAAGGCAATTCTAACCTGACACAAACCCTGAAGTCTTACAAAAATTTGTCTTAAAAATTCAAATACTATTCATGGCAAGAAAAAAAACACAAAGCAAAAATAGGAGAAAATATTGCCACATATCACAAGGAGTTAATTTCCTCAATATAGCTACCTAGGTCCTACAAATTGTGAGGGAAGCATCAAAAAAACCCACAGAAAATTTTGCAAAGGATATGGACAGCTACAGAAAAGGAAATACAAATATATAGACTTTAATATAGAAAAAACTGCTTAACATTCCCAGAATAAGAGAAAAGCAAATTAAATCACACTGAGATGTCAGAGAGCAAAGTTCCAAATGTTTAATTAAAACGCTTGCTGAAGATGTTGTGGGAAAATAAGCACTCTCTTACATGTCTAAATGTAAGACAGATATATAAATTGATACAACTCTTATAGAGGGCATTGGGATATCTAACAAAATTGGAAATGTGCATTCTCTTTGACGCAGAATTTCCACCTTTGGTGATTTATCCTACAAATATTCTCACATAAATGGAAAGAAGACAAATGTGTTGGTTACCTATGGCAGGACTGTTTTAATAGTAAAGAAGTATATACTACTTAAATTTCTATGATGAAGGATCGGTTAAATAAATTGTGACAGGGACTTCCCTGGTGGCGCAGTGGTTAAGAATCCACCTGCCAATGCAGGGGACACGGGTTCGAGCCCTGGTCTGGGAAGATCGCACATGCCGCGGAGTAACTAAGCCTGAGTGCCACGACTGCTGAGCGTAGGCTCTAGAGCTCGCGAGCCACAACTGTTGAAGCCCGCACACCTAGAGCCCGTGCTCCGCAACAAGAGAAGCCACTGCAATGAGAAGCCCGCGCACCGCAACGAAGACCCAACGCAGCCAAAAACAAAATAATTAATTAAAAAAAATAAATTGTGACACATTCATGCTAAGAACTACTATGCAGGTGTAAAATGAATGAGGACACTTTACATACTGATGTGGAAAGATTCCTAAAATATATTATTAAGTGAAAAAAAGTAATGTACAGAAAAGTATAATAATTATGTTACCATTTGCATAAAAATAACACAAGAAAATATTGATATATTGTACTTGCTTGCATATGTAGTAAATATCTGTGAAAGGACACAAAACAAACTAATAATAGTAGTTTGGAGGGAAATTGATGGGCTGGAGACAAGGATGAAAGAAAATTCAAAGTCCTTCCTTTTGATTTTTGAAGTATAAAAATTTATTGACTATTGAAATATGAAATTAATAAAATTATAAGATACTTCCATAAATAATTTATGCAATAAATTTGAAAATAAATATAAAATAGGCAATTCCTTAGGTAAATATAAATTAAATCCCCCCAAAAAATGCAAACAGGGGCTTCCCTGGTGGCGCAGTGGTTGAGGGTCCGCCTGCCGATGCAGGGGATGCGGGTTCGTGCCCCGGTCCGGGAGGATCCCATGTGCCGCAGAGTGGCTGGGCCCGTGGGCCATGGCCGCTGGGCCTGTGCGTCCGGAGCCTGTGCTCCGCAACGGGAGAGGCCACAGCGGTGAGAGACCCGTGTACCGCAAAAAAAAAAAAAAAAAAAAAAAAAAAAACGCAAACAGAAAAGGAAATTAAATTGTAAACAAATATCTATCTGTTTGAAAATGCAGCTTGCCAGACTATTTTACAAAAGATATATCTAACCTTCAAGAAACAAATAACTTCCATCTAATATAACAATTCCAGAGATTGGAAAAAGAGATAAAAACCCCACATGCCAACTCATTTTATGATGCTAGTATAACTTTTATGCTAAAACCAGACAAAGAGGACAGAAAATTAGAAGCCAGGCTAACTTTGAACTTGATAGGACAAATACTAAATAAAATATTAGGAAACCCAAACAAGCAATATATTTTAAATGCCTCATAACCAAATAGGATGTAAACCAGGCATATTTTAAAAAATAAAAATTAGAAAATATGTAAATTACAAAAATATTTTAAGATATAGAGGAAAAATATGTATATATTTAAAATATCATACACACTCTTCAGACAGATTAAAGATCTAAATGTGAAAAGCACATCTTTAAAACATTTAGGGCTTCCCTGGTGGCGCAGTGGTTGAGAGTCCGCCTGCCGATGCAGGGGACATGGGTTCGTGCCCCGGTCCGGGAAGATCCCACATGCCGCAGAGCGGCTGGGCCCGTGAGCCATGGCCGCTGAGCCTGCGCGTCCGGAGCCTGTGCTCCGCAACGGGAGAGGACACAACAGTGAGAGGCCCGCGTACCGCAAAAAAAAAAAAAAAAAATTAAACACATGGACAAAATGGGAACACACCCTTCTACTGTGGTTGCCTCTGCCGAGTGAGTGAGGACCAGAAAGATGAGGGAGGGGGTGGGCTTTAACTGTATCTGTAATGTCTTATTTTGTTAAAGAATGTTATGACCCAATGTTACTATTGATATTTACGATATCTGGGTTGTGGGTATGGGAAGGTTTGCTACCAAATTCCCCATTCTAGCCTTTGTAGGGAGGTCAGACACTTGCCCCGTTCTGGTTTCCTCTCAGATGTAGAACCTCACGTAGGACCTGCCCAGCCCAGAGATTCAGGCCATATTACCTGTGACCAGCTTGCTTACTGTGGACCTACTTTTCGACTTCCCTTCTCCACTTCTGCCTGCCTGTCATCACACCTTCTTTGTCCATTCTGCACCCACTAATGTATAATGTCACCATGCCAGGCAGATATTGCATTTGCTGCCATGCTCCATTTCCTCGCGGCCAGTGAGGCCAGGCCAGACCTCCAGCCTCTGTCCCCACGACCACCTGAGGCTGGTCTGTGTCCCTCGTGCTCAGCCTGTCCCCCAGCTACTAACTGGACCATCCCTGTGTCCTAAGCCATTACTGACACTGAGTTTTGAGATACAGACCTGATTCTCGCTCATATTTCTAGATTTCCTCAACATCCGACACCAGGTCATAATGACACATATACTTCTCACTTACTTTCTAGTTCTGACTGTACATTTACGCACAGTTGATATTTACCGTCAGTTGGAAATTTAAACTATACACAGTTTTGTTTTGTTTTGACCTAGATGAGCAGTTTTGATCTGAGTTTGAATATTTTGGCTATTCCACTCTTCCTTTTGTTCCCAAGAACGAAAGTGCAGCCCCGTGTATTTTTCTGTATCTGTGTTTTTCATGAGTCTAAGCTAAGCTCAGGAGGGCAGACTATATATTGGATTGTCATTGATGCAAAGGTACACAGGCAATCCAAACAGAGACCCTTCTGGCAGAATGCACTTCAGAGTGAGTGAAGGAGTTTTAGTGTGTTAGAGTTGGAATCATTTCAGGAGAAAGACATTTCTGAAATTATGGTGAAAAACATGATTTGATACAAAGATATCTAGTTTACGACTTAAAAAATGTATAGTAGAGATGAAGTTGTAACAATATCTTAAAACTAAAAAAACAAAACCAGTGAGTAATACAACTTTTTAGTTGGGTAAAGTCTTTATAATGTGCCTCTCTCAGAAATTTTGAAAATATTCACAAATTTATTCACAAATAAATTGAATTACCTCTTGTCTCAAAAGACGTTCTGTCTGATTTCTGGTGATATTTCTATGGTACCACCTGTAAAAGTAATAAAAATAATTTTTAAATGTTATGTTCCATTTCTTTCCAGAAAAACAAAAACAAAAAACCCCAAGCTGCTCCATTTCCTTCATTTTTAAAAACTTTCTCCAGAACTGATTTTAGAAAATGGAGTGATATTTAACTCAGATAAACAATAACGTACTGTAATGTGTCCGTTAGTTTAATACAGTTTTATTGATTGCAAGCCAAGATCTCACTTATTCCATCACATCTCCATTCAACTTTCTGACACACACTTAGTATATAATTTTGAATGATATAACCTCCTGAAAATTCCATAAAAGGTATGTGGTTAGGAAGTCATCATCTTCAATAAACACCTTACAGAGCTTTGGTTAAACAAACTAAAAAATAACCATTTCTTTCCCCTCAGGAACATCTTGTTTACATGCTTATATATGTGTTATGTTATCTTTCTGAACTTAAAACTCACACCAACTTATCTGACTCTCTTAAGTTTGTTACCTTGTGGTAAAGTCAGTGGTTTGATAGCGTAAACAACCAATATACAAAGCACCCTGCCCCAATCCCTCACGGGCCTCATGGTGGTCCTCTTTTTCCCCTCGCTTACTAAGCTTGGGCCATGTTGGGAATCTTTCCTGGCTCAAACTCACGAAGCCCTTTTCCACCTCCGACCTTGCTGTTATCTCTGCATGAAGCCATAATTAAATGACTTTAAAATACCAGAGCTACACACAGTGATCATAATTAAGTAACACTGTAATTTAAACATATGGTTTGGTATAACAACACAATCGGTAGGCAAATGTGGTACAGGAAAGAGAGAGGAAACGGTAGAACAAAGGCGAGAGACAGAAAAATGGAAAAGCTTTCATTTCAAAACAAGATTTTAAAAAGGAGTTAATCTAATTTTACCAAAAATAATATTTTTGTGGACAGTGGAAGGAAGAGTGCATATATAACCATGCAGTAAGTCAAGTGGGGGGAGCGCAAAGGTGGCTGATTGAAACTCAGACCTGCCTTGGAGGATGGAACCTATCTCATCATGTGGACTTCCTCTAACCTTCAATAGTAGAAAGTTGCCACTAAATTAGAATGGTCAGGTTCTTTAAATACTAATGCCCTCAAATTGAAAACAGTCTTTTAAAAAGATGAACCACAGAGAATAGGGGATGATTACAGATGATTCTAATCAAAGGAATATGACTATATGACTACTTACTGCTAGTGGAAACAAGAGTAACTGTGATGTTAAACTGTGCATATCATTCAGTACTTTTTAATGACTATTCATATTGTGGAAGGGAATTTCAAGATGAGTCTGAGACCTCTTGCTGTAGGAAGAAGAAATTCTTTCAAAATAAATGAGGCAGAGTTAAAGACACAGGGAACCAGTTTAATGGGGCCCCCCATTGGCTAAGTTCTGAAATATGGGTGCTAAGAGGAGAATGATGATTATAGCTCACTGAAATAACTGAAGCCGTAAAAAGCCAAGACTGCATAATGTACTTGAAAGGGGAGAGATTAACATAAATTGATTTTTTTCTAAATAATGTTTTTTACCTGCTATTGTGTTGGTGTTAATTTTGTTGCTTTGTACTTATTTATTATAGTGATAAATAAAATAAATATATTAATTTTGACTAAATATAAATTAAAAATCCATCCACGTGGAAGTCATACTTAGAATGACTTCAAAGTAGTAACAAAAGAGCCAGATAGAAGTATATGATGAATTTAAGACCCTTTAAAATAATGCAGAATTCCATCTGCATTATTATAATGATATATGTAAGGCAGGAAAAGATAGGATGAATGCAATTTAGAGGAGGTGGGAGCATGGTATTTCAGAATTTCATCTCTTTAAATCAGTTGGTAAAAGTTAGAAGAGTTTTTGTTCTGTTTTGTTTTTTTCAAATAGGTAAGGCTGTAACTCCTTTACTGAGACAACACTGATTATAAAACTAATATTGAGGGGCTTCCCTGGTGGCGCAGTGGTTAAGAATCCACCTGCCAATGCAGGGGACATGGGTTTGAGCGCTGGTCTGGGAAGATCCCACATGCTGTGGAGCAACTAAGCCCCTGTGCCACAACTACTGAGCCTGTGCGCTACAGCCTGTGAGCCACAACTGCTGAAGCCCACGCGCCTAGAGCCCATGGTCCGCAACAAGAGAAAACACCACAATGAGAAGCCTGCGCACCGCAACAAAGAGCAGCCCCGGCTCGCTGCAACTAGAGAAAGCCCACGCACAGCAACGAAGACCCAACGCAGCCAAAAATAAATAAATAAATAGTAAATAAATGTTTAAAAAATTAAAAAAAAAAAACTAACATTGAATGATTTCAGTAGAAGCCCCAATACACAGGATTGTGGTGGCCCTTCTACTGACATATTAAAAAAAATCCTGGCTCAAACTCACCAGGATTGGACTCACAGTACGTCCAACTGTGGTTGAGTACAACCATCTTATATATATGTAAGCCTCCCATGTGCCATTCTTAGATTTCTGATCAATAAGTAACAGTATTGTGGTCTTGAGTTTTAGCCCTAGCAACCCTATTAGGTCTGAGAAGGTTAATCTGCTTCACTGAGTGACTTTCTAACCCTGAGAAGGTTAAGCACTCAGTGCAGAGACAATTAGATAAATCAGACTCATATTTCCTAACTCAGGATAATCAATGTTTGCTATTTAAAATATCTATAATTTTAAGAGAATCTGGCATATCAGGTTTTTGTCTTTGATTTAAAATTTAAAATTAATCTTAAACTTGTTATTTGAAGTTTGAGGGAATTGAACCAATTTTTAAAATGACATTCATATGGATAAGAGAACTCGATTTACCACATATATCTGTTTAACTTATTACACTTCCAGGATCATGTAAGGACTTACAAAGGGTTATTACAATTGCAAATTTGCCGTCAGGCATGTGACGTACAATACTTAAAAAGAAAACTGAATTTATTCAGTTTATCAATGCAAGTTAGATGTTTCCAGAAATTTAATGAACTGAGCTTATAAATAGGATGGATTGTTTAAAGACATTTCGTGTGTTGAGTATGAATTAAGGTGATTGTTCTTAACTTTTTTAGATTTATGCATGGTATATCAAGACTTACAAGTTAAATCTGAAGGCTTACTGAAAACCAGGGTTTTACGTTGTAATGTTGATAATTTAATTTCAAACCAAAGTAGCCATAAATATTTCTCTGAATAAAGGTTCCCCTGAAATGTCAGAAGCCCATGTGGACACAGCATTCCTTCCCCCCTCGGCCCCTAACTCCCTCCTGCCCCCTTTAGGCCTCAAGTCACTTCCTCAGAAAGGTCTTCCCCACCCAACACGCTCATTTAAATTATATCCCCTTCCCTCTCCCTGTGCCCCATACTGTTCCTTCATAATACCACAATTTAAAATGATATATTTATTTGTGAATTTGGGGTTGTTTAATGTCTATTTTCCCATAAAGCTGTAAGTTGCATGAAGGCGGGGACTGCTTCTGTGTATTCCATATTGTGTTTCCAAGGCCTGGAACAGCTAACATCTGGTACATCCTAAATGCACGATAAAAAAGACTGAACAAATAAATTGACTGGAGGACTGAAGTATCTATGAATGTAGTACACCTGTAATACTAGGCAAGGTGGACCAAACTGTAAATGCCTTACCTGTTCATTTCACAGTTCAAGACGGGTTCGAGCCCTGGTCCAGGAAGATCTCACATGCCACGGAGCAACTGGGCCCCTGCGCCACAGCTAGTGAGCCTGCTCTCTAGAGCCCGCGAGCCACAACTACTGAAGCCTGCGTGCCTAGAGCCCGTGCTCCACAACAAGAGAAGCCACCACAGTGAGAAGCCCGTGCACTGCAACGAAGAGTAGCCCCCGCTCGCCGCTACTGGAGAAAGCCCTCGCGCAGCAACAAAGACCCAATGCAGCCAAAAATAAATAAAAATAAATAAATTTAATATCTCAACCTTAGTTTCTGATCTGCAGAATGAGGGGCAGAATGATCTGCAGAGTGACTGCTAAGATTTCCTTCTTCTAAATCTATAAGGGTAGCAAGAATGTATTTCTAAGCAGAACTCTAGTAACATACCAAATGTTCTTCCAAACTACATTAGCCTACTTCTCAACTTCATTGATTTCTAAAAGATTTCAAAACATGAGCTAAATACAGTAATGTGTCTATATATTAAGTCTAATTTCATTTATGCACAATTAATGCCATTTTTAATTTTTTAAAATGTTTTGACCACGCTGCATGGCATGAGGGATCTTAGTACCCTGACCAGGGATCGAACCCATGCCCCTTGCAGTGTAAGTGCAGAGCCTTAACCACTGGACCACCAGGAAAGTCCCCATTTTTTAAATAATAACTTTTCCATTTAGGACATGCATTAAAATAAGTGCAAGATGAGTGTTTGGTTTCACATTGTCACTGTCAAAAATTTTTTTAATTGACCGTACAAAACAAAAGTGATTTTAAGAAAAAGAAGTTTCTGAATCAACCGCTATAAGGATCAAAGATCTCTTAGGCTAAAGCTGCCAACCGTGTTACCTTCTTTTCCTTACTTTGGTCTTACAGACCAAAAACGCTATGTATACTTATAAGCTGCCCAAATGTACATAATTTTCATAGATTAACCATAGGACATATTTTGGAGGACACTTACTCGTATATTTCTAAGTTGGTTGGTTTGTTTTCAGTCACATAGTTGCTTGGAATTAAGCCTTCATTCCTACAAAGACAAAGCAAAAATCAAAATGCTTGGCACATTTGTGGCATTATTGTGGCAAAAATCCTTTTAAAAACCTCAAGGATGCAGGGCAAAATCAAATTCATTTGACTAATTAAATTGTTGAAAGAAGAAAGAAAAGTTTTTTCATTTCAACTAAAATCTCTGCATGATAAATACTAAGTTTCTGACTTATAATGTGAATAGTTTAAGACGTTTTCTGACAAAAATCTTTGCAAAGAGGAAAAGGTGTACTTACGTGATCACTGGGACATCATAGTGACTAGATTAAAAGCATACCAATTACAAAGATATTGACTTAATTCTTTTTAATTGCCACAGAGTATTCCACAGAATAGATATTCTAGTTCAGCCACGCCCCTATTACAGCAAAGCTGGAAAGAAATACTTGAACATGCCTTCTTGTGTACAAGTAAAAGTACTTCTCTAAGACAGATACCAAGCAGGGAAACTGCTGGGTCACGGAGTATGTACATCTTTCAGTAGATACAGTAAATTGCTGTTGAAGGGAAATGTACCAATTTATACACTCATCAGCAGGGGAGGGGTTTCTCTTTTCCTATACCTTCGCCAATGAAATCTGAAATTTAATATTATGAAAAGATCTCCAAGACATTTTATTGAGGAATACAAGCAAGTTGCAGAGCAATGCATAAAGTATGGTCAGACTTAGGTAAATTATATCTGCAAACAATACCATATGTTTCAATGAGTGCATTGAGAATGATCTGGACAAGTACTCACTAAATGAATAATGGTGCTTCCTTTTGGGAAAGAGACTGGGTTTGGAGGTGCGGCAAAGCAGAATTTGGGTACTATTTATCATGTTTGAATCCAAAAAAAAAAAAAACTATATTCAGTTATTAACTTTGAAGTTAAAAATTGTTGTTGTTTCTCTTTAAGTCTGAGTCATGCCAATAGGCCACCTGCAGCAGTAGCTAATTACACAGCCCTGAACCTACTAACTTACTGTGATCACTGGGACATCATACCTCTTTTCCCACTGAAAAGTCTCCATCACATGTTGAGACTCAATCAAAAACTGGTAACACAGCCAAATCATCAGGAAAATATAAATAAAGAGGTATGTATGTACTTCTGATGCTTAGACACTTATAATCTCCAAATCTTGACAAGGATCAGAAATCAGTGCCAGCATGCTCTCCCAGAAAGCTCACCTACTCCTCAGAATTCTTCTCTACCCAGGACTCCAGTCTGGCATTAGCAATCTATTGCAACTGACACAAAGAAGTCTTATTGCATCCCAGGGTCTTTTTTCTTTCCAATTTAATTCAGAAAATATTGCAATGTTTACTTCTAAAACTAGTCATTGTAGAAATATGAAAATGAATAAGATACTGTTTCCATTTCTATCTCAGAGCTTAACAGGAAAAAAATTCAAATTGCCAAAGAAAGCATAAATTAGAATAAGAACTTGTATGGTAGGAATTATCATTCCCATTTTACAAATAAAGAAACAAAAATTCATTAAAAATAGAACTACCATATGATCCAGCAATTCTGCTTCTAGGTATTTATCCGAAGCAAATGAAAACACTAACTCAAAAAGATACATGCACCCCCATGTTCATTGCAGCACTATTTACAATAGCCAAGATGCGGAAACAACCTAAGTATCCACTGATGGATGAGTGGATATAGAAAATGTGGTATATATCTCTACAATGGAATATTATTCAGCTATAAAAAGAAGAAAATCTTGTCCTTTACAGCAACATAGATGGACCTGGAGAGCACTATGTTAAGTGAAGTAAGTCAGACAAAGACAAATACTATATGGTCTCACTTACACGTGAAATCTTTTAAAAAATGAAAAATTGAAGAAACAAACAAACAAGCTCATAGATAGAAAGAACAGATTGGTGGTTGCCAGAAGCAGGGGTGGGTGGGGGTGAAGTGGGTGAAGGGGATCAGAAGGTATAAAACTCCCGCTACAGAATAAATATGTCTTGGGGATATAATGTATAGAATGGTGACTGCAGTTAATAGTACCGTATTGCATGTTTGAAAGTTGCTAAGAGAATAAATAAAAGTTCCCATCACAAGAAAAAAAATTTGTAACTATGTATGGTGATGAATGTTAACTAGACTTGTAGTGAGTATTTCACAATATATATAAATATTGAATCATTATGTTGTATACTTAAAACTAATATAATGTTATATGTCAATTATAACTGAGAAGAAAGAGAGAAAGGAAGGAAAGGAGGGAAGGAGGGAGGGAGGGAGGGAAACAGAGGGTAAGTGACTTGCCCAAGGACACACAACAGTACGCGGCAGCATCAGGATATAAAACCACATGTACCTAGTTTGGAGAGTCTGCCTGAAATCACGGTGCTATAATGCTCTTTCATACAGATGGGGAGGTGTGGGAACAGCTTCTGTTTCATTTACGAGGAAGAGTTATAAACCTGGACTAAATGAGCCACTACACGGAGTCTATGTCATGCTTCAGAAGTCTTCAGAGAATGAGAGATGAGAGATTTGGTAAAGACTAAGCCATCAGTCTTACCCCAAGCGGTCTCTTGCCTTCCACCAGTGAGGATTACACTTCTCCAAGATCAGGTATTCCTCTGCTCTCTTTAAGGCTAAATCACAGGGCTCTCTGGGCAGGAAATCATACAGTGCTTTGACCTGGATCTTCTCTTCGGCAAACTCAGAGGGTGGGAGGGGAGGCAGCGGCTTGCGTTTTGATGGCTGCACTCGGCCCCTGTTGGACTGTAAACACTAAAGAGTGAGTCGTTGTGCTATTGTTTTAGTGATCTGTACTAAAAAAGAATCGGGATAGAGCCTATTTGCCTGCCCCCTCACTTCTCCCAGCCAGCTACACCAAAGCAGAAGCCCAGGTGGGATAAAGGTAGGAAATGACTAACTATAGAACGACTTCCAGATCCAGCAACACACTCATCATTTTGTAAATTCTGAAGATCACCAATTCTCTTGCCAGCATTGCACTGAATTGTTTTCATGTCACAACTCTTAAAATTGTATTTCCTCCTTAATAGTTTCACTTCAAGGACTTTTCTCTCTTGGAAAAAGAAAAACGGCTCTTCCCTTTCGCGTGCTGTAAGCTTGTGTTTGGGTTTAACACACTTCCCAAGAAAACTGATTCTCTGCCACTGAGCTGAACATTAATCCTGGCCTCAAAATGGCAGTAGCCAGAACACATTTTTTTCCCAATTTCAAGTTCTGCCAAAATATAGCAGAGTAGTCTATTTTAACTGTTTTTGTTGGTTGGTTGGTTGGTTGGTTTTTGTCTTTCACTTTCTTCTAGGACATCGATTCACTAAATGTTTACTGAGAACTCATTATGTGCCAACCATGATACTAGGTTCTGGGCATGGCAGCAAATGGTACCTCATGAGGCACAGACCCTAAAAATGCCACCGTCCTCTACCCCTTCACCCCCATCAAAATGATACTCACTTGCTTCTTACTTGGCAATTCACTGAACCATGGTCTGCGACGCTGCGTGTATTTTTCTGAAAGTTCTTCATCTTTGCTAAGGCTTATTTGTGTCCTCACTTGTCTGACATTGAAAAATAATCATGTTACAAATGATTATTTGTACTCAAGTTATCTATGAATCTACTAGATTATCACAAACTGGTAGAAAAATCTCCTTCCTATCGTTTTTTTTTTTTAGAAGACTTCCAAACTCCATTTCCTTGAACAAGGTACTACCTCTCAGAACTTCATTTTTTTTAATCTGGGAACTAGAGATGCTAAGACCGTATAGAGTTGTTATGAAATAAAATTGAGAAAACATATCATGTGCCCAATACAGAGTCTGGTGCATATTAAGGGTGTACAATTACAATCATGATAATGAAGATCTTACTCTGTGTCAGGCACAGTGTTTATCATTTTACATGCATCACCTCATTCGATGGTATCTATTGTTATAAGTAGACATGGTGTAGCGATAAGAACATGAGTTTAGATCCCAGGTCTACCATTTTCATAGTGTGGCCTTGGGTAAGCAATGTAACCTCTCTAAGCCTCAATTTCCTCATCTGTATAATGGGGATTGTAAAAAAAAATGGGTGGTTTTGAGAGCTACTTGAGCTAAAATATGCAAACTTCTTAGCACAGTCTGACATATAGAACACTCCCATTAAATGTTGGCTCTTATTATTATCATGGTGCGCTGGATTTTATCCTTATACATCATTTGCTGGGCACCAAAGTGTAAAACACACTGATAGTTTGGGGGAGATACTCAAATAAACAAGACAGGATTCTTACCCTTAAAAGGTAAAAATTACAGAGTGAAACACAGACATATAAATAGCATACATGAAATAAGTATTAAATAAAGAACCAAGCCGCGTGCTCTGGGAACACAATGGAAGGAGCAATTAAATCCAAGAGGATCAAGGAAGCATCACAGACCTGACATTTGACCTACAGCTAGCTTTAAATGAATGGCCATTCAACAGGAAGAAAATGGGAGTAGGGTTTCCCACGCAGAGGCAACAGCAGATACAAAGAGATGTGGAGACTCGACAGACAATAAAGAAAAGGAATGAATTAATTTCCAAGAAGTTGCCCTCGGAAGAAGACTTACCGCTTCTGCACGGAACAGCAACAGCAGAAAATCGACTGGACGGTATTATCTGAAAAGCAGATCATTCTCAACTGTTAGAAAGCCGTGAGTCCGTGATATTGGATAGAGGAGGCTGCTGGTGCTGGTCCAAAGGAGGAAATCCCTGAGGGTACGGGTGACAGAAAGTATTGCAAAGCATATGCAAAGTCTTGACCGTGCCCTTCTTCACTAGTAGAAGATGAAAAACTGTCACTAACACAAAAAGAAGTTACTGGCACCCCGGCCACTGTGGTTTCCCTTCTCAGGCTCTTGTTCCTGGGTCTGGTTTCATGCATTTCCTCAGTCTGTGAATGATAAATGACCATTGTATTCCTCTTTACCTTGATCAGGGCTAATGTCAGTTGACAAGTATACAAAAGAATATGATTCCAGAAACAATGTTCTCCTAGGAAATCTGTTAGCAGGGATTTTGAATTAGGTCCATCGCATTTCTTCAAAAATATTTTAATATATATTTTATATATTTACATAAACTAATATAAATATATTTAATATATTATATAATAATATAATTTAACATATTTATTTTATTTTTATATATTATGTATCAAAATACATTTATACCTTTTTGGCTCTCAAATTTTCTATGGATTAGGTCCAAACATAAACTGAATATTTAAAGAAAGCACTAGCTATCTAGTAAATCTGGGTCATGCTTACACTTCTACTGTCAAGTTTAATCTTTATTTAAGCTAGACCATTTGCCTTTTTCAAACCATAAATTTTGAATTTATCAAAAGCTGTTTTATGTTCATAGAATCTGCATTTCACAGCGGCACTTTCTCATACTGACCCCTAAAAATGAAGCATTGTTAAGGAAGCAGAATACATTAGACATGAGCATTAGCTTTGAGGTGAGAAAGATCTAAGGATGAATTCTAGCTGCGGGGGTAGGGGGGAGGGCGCTGACTATATCTGGGATAAGTCCCTTTACTTCTCTATCTCTTTGTTTTCCTATCTGTGAAAACAAGATAATCATACCTACCCCCTTTGAGAAGCCTTAGGGGGCAGAGGTTAATCTCCAACTTCGTGGGTTTGGGCAAGTTACTTAACTGTCTGTGCTTAAGTTTCCTCATCTGTAAAATGGGAATAACAGGACACTAGGCATGTAAGGCTACTATGAGGATTAATTGAATGAATTCATATAGAGCATGCAGAACAATGCCAGGTATATATCAATAGTAAGAGGGTAATCAAGAGGACCTATTATCATTATAGGGTTGTTGAGATCAAATTAGATATTTTCTCTAAAGTCCTGGAACATGGAAGAGGGGTACAAGCAGAAGACACCCGGTACAATCTACCCCTCAGCATCCACTCTATGCCTCCAGAACAAGGGATGAAAAAGAGCTACCATATTATCGCCAGGTGATGTCAATTTGATCATATTCCCACCCGAAACCTAGTACATTAACCACCATTAGGATTCTTAAGTCAGGTAGAGAAGGAAACGAGGAGAAAAGAAGAGTAACATAGGACATAGCTGCTACAATTCCCACCTCTTAAGCTGTCCTGAGTCCTAAGCTGATCACAGATACCTTCTGTCACCATTCATTCCTTGTGTCCCCTTGCCTCTGCTGACACTTTGGCCAAAGGAGGTACTTTATCTAATGGAATTGCCCAAATGTTCATTCCTGTGGGATTTGGGTCCTTAGTTGGTATTGTCTTAACGGGGTTGTTACAGTTTTCTACTGACCAGGACTATTATGAATTTTAAGAAATGAAGCTAGTGAATTCCCTGAGTTTCAAAGTCCTCATTGTACTCATTGTGAAGAATGAACCCAATTCCTGGTAATCAGGATACTTATCCCAGCTACTCTGACCCTTTCCTGTGCCTATCAATTTGCTGATACAAGGAATCCCAAAATGGTTAGAGGGCAATCTCAACTTCCAATGTTCCCTAACAAAAGGATTCTCCTCTCAGGCACTAGAATCTCCAAACTCACCAAACCCAAAGTCACGGGGAAAGAGAATAACAATATCCAGTGGGTTATTAGGTGGTGATAGGGGCCACTCCAACCTCTACTCCTTAGTTCCCAGACTCAGACATCCTGGCTATATGGAAACAACACCACATTTGCTGTTGGCTTAAGGCATTTACTGTATATGATAGGACACCACTCCAACTTTGCAAGATGTTGTCTCCCAGGTGTCATAGCAATTGAGCCTTTAGCAGGCCATTCTTCTGTCCTATTAAGCCAGCTGCTTCTGAATTACGGGACACATGGTAAGAGTATTCAGAGAACCACTGTACCAGCACCAATGAAACTAAGAAAAGGCTGACTCCACAAAATGTATCATCTTGTAGACCTTTGGTTACATCTTCTCATTTTGTCCCCATTCCAAGAGTTTCAAACACATTCCTCCCCAGATCTTTCACCAACCTCCCAATCTTGTTCTTTCCATGTTCCTGAACTAGCAGGCCAACTTTTCTGCCGTTGCATATGAGTCAATGTAGATTGATGCCTCAGACTAACTGTCCCTAATGAAGTGAATAAACTGATGTACTTCTTGAAGTTCAAGGAGAATGTTATTTCAACACCATCTTTCAGGCTACCTCTGAATAGGGCTGTAGCATGATGGCTGTTCATTTCCTGCTCATGTGGGTTTGGGATGCAGATCTACATGTAAATCAGGCCTGATGGGAAATTCCTCTTGAGGTCTTGGGTGTGAGGTGAAGGAGAAGCAGAAAGAACAGGTACTATGTGAATGTCACCTGCTCATGAAGTTTTCTTGAGCCTTCTGGATCTACGGGGGCCCACTTTCACATATACCATTTCCATATTATTATGGATTACTCCTACACATGCCCAATTTTTTGGTTCAGTGAATCAGATAGCACTCAGCTCATGACAGGCTCACTCAGTTTGGATCGCATAAGCATTTCATGGCATGGTTGGAGCATTCAGTCTTCACCAGTAGGAAGCCAGGAGCTACTTTTCAAATCAAAAATAGTGGGGACTTCCCTGGTGGTCCAGTGGTTAAGTCTCCTCACTTCCACTGCAGGGGGCACAGGTTCAATCCCTGCTTGGGGGACTAAGATCCCACATGCCACGCAGTGTGGCCAAAAAAAAAAAAAATCAAAAATAGTTATCAGCACAGGGTCAAGTCATTACTCCAAATTTCTGAGGGTTTGTGCTGTGATTCTCACAATGGGACTTTCAGAGGCTCCATATAGCCAACATTTTGCCCTTCATCCCAGGCTACCACCAATGATAATTGGAGTAATGGAAAATTGAGTTATTTCTCCCAGCAATAAGGCTATCCCTGGACCTCTAACTATATGACCAAATAAATCACAATTCCAATTTTGACTCTGTTTCCTAGAGCCACTTATGATACCAATTATGGTATCAATCAGGCCTATAATATAAAACAAGACATACCTAAATTAGAACACTTTTAGAAGGGTTTATTTACAAAGAGACTAATTACAAAGGTGTAGAAGGGGGTAAGGTAACGATAAAGAATGTGCAGACACCTGGGTCCAGCAATAGTGGAACTGTCACCATCCCCATGTCCAAAAGGCCCAGGAAAGTGAGAGAGTTAAGCAGAGCAGAGACCATTTTACAGGAGCAATGATCTGCTGTAGAGGGACACAGCCAGTTCAAGGTAACCTCACCACAGCTTCCTTCCAGGGCTCCCCATGGGTGTAGTGTAACCAGAAGCCAGAGGGCTCAGAAGCATGCTGAACCAAGCCCTACAGATTACTTTTCCAGGATAGAGTGCAAGGTGGAGAAGAATGAATACCAAGAGGCCGGGCTCACTGAGCCACGATGGAGTCTGGCTTCCACGTTTAATCCCCTACAGGTCATCCTTCCAGGATAGAATAGGGCGGATAAGAATAAAGATATCCAACACAGTAATCAATATATACTGGTTCCTTTGCCTTTCACCTTCAAAACCTAGATTCATGCATTAGTTACTTGCCTTTCTCCGGTTTGGATGTCGCCGTTATTCAATGTTTGGGCTACAGACACACTGGTGGTGTCCAGGGGTAAACATCTCATTCCTACTCTGGAGATACAATTCCAGTCCAAGCCCAGGCAAAGATTCACTTTTGCTCCCACTGCTATGAGATCACTCACCCCTGATTTAATAACTTTCTTCCTTAGCCTGCACCAAGAAACACAAAGTGGATTTCCAGGGACCAAAACAGAGTTCCGCAAACCTTCACTACATGGTGTATTATTAGGCTTTTGGATCTCAACTGCTTCTGACTGTCAGTTTTCATCTGGTGGCCTCTGCATGAGCCAATTGCCAAAAACACGCCCCCCAAACAGGGTACGTTAGCACTTGGGGGCTCTGTCTACCTTGGCAGGAGTGGTTCTAATTTGCATCCTTACCGATTTATTCCAGTGTTGCCTTAGAGCCCCATACAGATATGCATCCATCCAGGCCAAGAAATGTGAAGTCCGGTGTAGGTTATACAAGTGAGAGAAGCAAGCAGAGTATGGTATGGACTGTGGCAAAATGCTGTGTCAAAGTCCCATGTAGAGGTATTTAAATACTCCTTCCCTCTTCTACATCACCATTTTCCCCCTCTCTACTGGATCCTTCCCAATAGCATATAAATATACTGCTACTTCACCCCTTAAAAACAAAACAACAAATTACCCTTGATCTTATTTCTTCCATCAGCTTTGCTCCCCATTTATAGTAATTAGCAGTCTTTATTTGCTGCCTCCAATTCTTTCCCTCCTACTTTCTCTTAAGCCATCCCAGTTAAGCTTTTGATCCTACTACTTCCCAAAACTGCTCTTGTTAGAGTCACCAGGGTCCTATGCACTGCTATAAACAACGGTCAATTCTAAGGCCTCATCTTACCTGTGCTCTCAGCAGCGTTTGACACTAGGTCCTGCTGGTCTTCCTTCTTCTCAGTCTCCTTTACTGCTTTCTCCTCCTCCCTGCTAACTTCTTAGACTGGGTCTAATGCTAGGCTGCCCCAAAGCTTTTGATTTCTTCTTTACTCTGCCTTATTCGCTCCCTTGATTATCTCATTCCTTCCTGTGTCTTAAAAGCCATCTATCTGCTGATGACTCCCAAATGTACGCCTCTACCCCAGTGCCAATGAATTCCAGACTTGCACAGCCAAAGGCACTCTCAAATTCTCCACTTGGATGTCTAGTGGACATCTCGAATTCACAGGAAGAAATCTGAACTCCTCTCATCTTCCTCCCCAAACTCGTCTATCCACTCTTCTCCATCTTGTCAAGAGCAACTCCATTTTTCCAGTTGCTCAGGCCAATGATCTTGGAGTTACCTTTGACTCCTCTCTTTCTCTCATACCCCAGTCCAATCCATCAGGAGAGCATGCTGACTATTCCTTAAAAATGTATCCAAGGGCTTCCCTGGTGGCGCAGTGGTTGAGAGTCCGCCTGCCGATGCAGGGAACACGGGTTCGTGCCCCGGTCCGGGAAGATCCCACGTGCCGCGGAGCGGCTGGGCCCGTGAGCCATGGCCGCTGAGTCTGCGCGTCCGGAGCCTGTGCTCCGCAATGGGAGAGGCCACAACAGTGAGGGGCCCGCGTACCGCAAAAAAAAAAAAAATGTATCCAAGAGTTTCTGCTTGAGATGACGAAAAAGTTCTGGAGATGAGTAATGGTGATGATTGTACAATAATGTGCTTGGACTTCATGCTCCTGGACTCTACACTTACAAATGGTTAAAATGGTAAATTTTATGTTAATTACATTTCACCACAATTTAAAACTCACACACACACAGAACGTTACTGCTTTTCCCCACCCTCCTGTTACTAACAAGGTCTAAGTCTCCATTATCTGGATTATACCAAGAGTCTCCTAACTTCTTTCTGCTTCTACACTTAATCCCATCCCCCCACCCTTTATGGCTTATTTTTCAGTGGCCACAGTAATTAATTTAAAACCTAGGTCAGATCATGCTACTCCTTGTCTCACAAACCCACAATGGCTCTCCATTTCACTGTGCGTTACAGCCAATTTTCTCACAATCGTCCTTAAACCGTCCACGACCTGGCCTCCTGGTGCCTCTCACCTTCTCTCCAATGTGCTTGTGCTCATTTCACCCCATCCACACTGCCCCCGCAGTGCTTCTGGACCAGGACTGCTCTCACCCAAGGCTCTTCGCTTTTGTTCTGCCTGGACCATTCTTCCCCCAGCTGTCAGCCTTCCCTACTCTCTCCACATCTTCATTCCTTTAATTAAATTAATAAAATAAAATAGACTCTCAATTACATATGGCAACAAGAGTATATCTTTCCTTATTTCCGAGGCCTTCCGTAATCTGGCCAGCCCCACCCTGATGCTTAGTGCTCACCAATTCCTATTACACCAGCTTCTATTCTTCTGTTCACTGTTCTCACAGACACCTTGAACATTTCTGTCCCCGGCTTAAAAAAGGCTTCCATTGCAATCCACTCCCACCTAATCTTCCTTCGGCTCCCAAAGCACTGTTATGTGTCTTGCTCTGTGGCTCATAATTAGGTACCAACTTCAATGGTTATTTACTTTTCTTTGCGTAGCCTTCATCTCTCACAGGGCTCCTCAATCTCACCACTACTGACACCTTAGAGTGATGACTGCTTTGCTGCGGGAGCTGTCCTGTGTATTACAGTATGTCGAGCAGCATCCCTGGCCCCTGTGCACTAGGTGTCAGTACCAACAGCACCTCACTCCTCTGATACCCACCTCCCACACCCAGGTGTGAAGACCAAAATGTTTCCAGGAATTGTCAGAGGTCCCCTGTGGGCAAAAATCACCCCTTGTTAAGAACCACTGAGCTCGATTGTGAACTCTTCAATTTCACGGTCTGAGTCTCATGGTTTTTTGTCTTGTCCATAGCATCCAGCATGAGAGCCTGGTACAGAGCAAGAACTCAATAGATAGCTGTTAAATAACGTCTCCTCAATATCTACACCATCACATTACACTTAGGCTCTATTTGTCGGTAACTCATTCTACCACATGCAATCTCACAGCTCGACGCTGGCCGGCCGCAGAGCAAGCTAGGTTGACCACGTCCTTTTGACTAAGTAGAAATAAGTAGAACAGTAAAGCTTCCGGAGCTTGTAGTAGGTCATAAGTCTAACCTTTTGTTCCAGGCAGAGTAAAAAAGAAGAAGGGGGCTTCCCTGGTGGCGCAGTGGCTGAGAGTCCGCCTGCCGATGCAGGGGATGCAGGTTCGTGCCCCGGTCCGGGAAGATCCCACATGCCACGGAGCGGCTGGGCCCGTGAGCCATGGCCGCTGAGCCTGCGCGTCCAGAGCCTGTGCTCCGCCACGGGAGAGGCCACAACAGTGAGAGGCCCGCGTACCGCAAAAAAAAAAAAAAAAAAAGAAGAAGGAAGAGAGGGAGGAGGAGGAAGGAGGTGGGAAGGAGAAAAAGCAGCGGCAGCTTATCCAAAATCAAGCATCAATCCACGAGATGCTAAATGAAATGGTTAAAACCTGGTGTTCAAATGTTCTTTTTTCTGTATAAGGACAGCATATGGGGTTGAGCAGTCACTAGGGTCAGGGTAACCTGAAGTCAAATCACGACTCCATTTTCTTGTAGCGACAATATGATTTGGGGCAATTACTCAGGGGGCTGATCTGGAAAATGATAGAAATAAAACCTACCTTGTAGGAAAGGCAGTTTCCCACTGCTACCAACAAAGCATTTACCATATGGAGGGACTACAGGAAGATCTTCCTATCCTATACTAACTCACTCCCTACACACTGAAATAGGTCCTGTAATTATCCCCATTTCACAGATGAAGAAATTGAGTAACAGACAGGTTCAGTAATTTGTCCAAAGCTACATACCTAAAAAAGCAGCTGAGATTGAATTTAAGCCCACAGAGCTTGGCTGAGTCCATGAGCATAATAATGAGACAGTCCTTGTGGATGAGAAGATTGCGTAAGACAGCAGAGATGAAATGTCTAGGACAGAGCAGTTGCTCATTTAATGTCCAACCTTTTGCCTCACTCAGTTCCCTAGAATTCATTCAGCAAGTATGTATTGTGTATTCAAAGAGCAGATTTGAGGTAAACAGATAGAAGCACACTATGGTCCTCCCTCTGAAGACAAAATGGGAAGAAGGTCAAGTAAACCAAAGCTGACCTTCAACCCCACAACTCCTGTGTTCTGAACCCATTCTCTACCCCTGTTCACCCCGCTCAGGACTCTAAGGGGTCCTCTCTCCACTGTCAACACAGCTCTCCGGAGGTGCTCTGAAGCTTAGTCTTGGCAAGGTGAAAATGATATGATAGTAAACTGATATAACAGTAAACATGTACGGCGGTGCTTCTTTTAAAGGCATTTTCATATCTGTAAGCATGACAACTGTATTTGTCAGAGTGATCAGAGAGAGAGCAAGATAAACTGACTTAAGGAATTGGCTCACACAATTGTGAGGGCTGGTGAGTCCAAAATCTGACGGGGTGGGCTTGCGACTCAGGGAAGAGCTGCAGTCTGAGTCCAAAGGCAGTCTGCTGGCCGAATTTTTTCTTGCCTAGTGGAGGTCAGTCTTTGGTTTATTAAGGCCTTCAACTGATTAGATGAGGCCCACCCACATTATGTCTCGGTAATCTGCTTTACTAAAGATCCACTGATTTAAATGTTAATCTCACACAAAAAATATCTTCACTGAAACATCCACAGTAACATTTAACCCACTACCTAGGCATCAGGGCCCAGTCAAGTTGACCCATAAAATTAACCATTATTATACCTTAAATTAAACATATAGAACTTTCAAAGAGAAATTGCTGGCATTTGTCAGCAGGAATGATATCTGGAGACTAGGAAAAGGCTCCCCCCCCCCCGCCTTCACTGAATTTACCATACATGACTACACACCACCAGAGTGGACTATAAATCCAACAGCAATCTCTCGGTTATCTTTACTCTCTCCTGCAGCCTGGAATTTAGGAGGAAGTTTTTTCACAAGTGATTTATTTGTCCTCACTCAGTAGCAAAGACAGCTGCCTTCAAATAAGGGTACTACTCTGCCACAGCTTTAATTACGACACGGTTTTGTTCTATCTCCCCTGAAGACCAAGAAGAGCTGTGAGCAGCGAGGACAACCTCCGCCTTGTTTATGGTTCAGTTCCGCCCAGCACAGTTGCTAGCAAGTAGTCGCTGCCCAATAAATAATTGATGAGTGAGTAAAAAACAAGTTGTGAAAGCCAAACAGCGTCCTGGTGTTCCTTGCTTGGCTTGACTCTTCAAGACACCAGGCCTCTTTATTTACAGACTGAAGTAATGATTCATGCCAAAGCGGATAGCAATGATTATTAGATTTGTGGTCATTTTCTATTTACAGCATCACAGGTCTTCCAGGTGAGTGGGTAAATGGAGAGTCACTGCCACACGCCTGCTGTGGTTCCAGAAGCCATTCTTTGAATTGCTTTTCTCAGTAACCTGCAGAGAGAACGCCCTTTTTCGCCTTTATAAAATCCCCAATGAAGGCAGAAACTCATGCATATCTGGTCTTTGCCAGAGACGATCTAAAATGCCGCAGAGATGGGCAATGACTATTTGCCTGCTAGAAGGTGATATTCAGTGTTGAGGATTAACGCAGGAAGAAGCCAGAGCTTCCCCTCCCAGGCTTACATCTGCGCTATTCTTTTCATCTGCTTCTTATTCCCCAGCAAATACCTTTAATTATCTATCTTGTACCAGCAAATCAGGAAAAGGGCATCACATCCCGGCGTAATCTCCGTGACCTTTAGGAACTGGCACGTCCCTCATGGGTAAGGGAGTCGAACCTCTTATTTTATTTAGTGTTCGCGTACTCTCCTGGGAAGGCTTGCTTCCCCCTTCTCCCACCCGTGCAGGTCTCCTAACAGCCTTCTGCTTGTGTGCGTGGCTGCAGCAGGGCTCGGCTTGGGGACGGGTTTCCACCAGGGGGCGCTGGAAGGGAGCGAGTGGGAGAAGCACCACTTCTCCGAACAGCTCCCCGCCGCTCACAGTCCAGCAGATGAACGGTAGCTGAAGGGCTGCTGGGTCACCGCCGTCTGGGAAGCGAAGCTGGTGGCGTTCCCTCCGTTTCGAATGTTTTCAGATTTATATCTACGGAACCTCACGTATTTACGATGGCAGAGTTTTCGTTATGAATCAGTGCTTCAGGCGAAATTCAGTCCTCCTGAGTTTGCTTAGAATAACTGGCAGAAGGCTGGTGATTTTTATTTGAAAACATGAATAACTGGCTCGTTTCAAGAAGTGCCTTGAGCCAAAGACTAGGCTAGTGGCCCAACGCACACAATCCAGGTTGCGGTTTTAGGACGAGGAATTCCAGGGCAGCTGCGCTCACAGCTGAAGGGCTCGGGGAACTGGAAAGTGTGGAAAACCTGTGGCTTTGG